GAAGATTTACTGATAGAATGCTCCCTCTGCTTTTTTCTGAGAGACCTTTCCTCATTATTGTGTATAGATTTGACCCTCAATAGCTTTATCTGTGATTAGGGTTTAAGATAATACTTTATTTTACTTTATTTTTTGCTCAAGATAATACTTTACAAGGAAGCTTTTATATTGGTCAGGGATACTGAGTCCTTGTTCTGCTTAAGAGCCTTCTGTGGTTCTCTGCTCAGGAAAGGTCTGAGCTTCTTCCCAAAGTGGCATGCAAAGCTGTCACGCCGGGTCTCCCAGCCCACCTTTCCCCACCTCACCTTCTGCCTCTCCTTTCACTCATTTCACAGGCTGCTTTCCTTCCTCGGAGCTCACATCCCAGTTGTGTGCATGTTTGCCTGGTTGTCTTTGTTCTTGCTCTTCCCTCCTCTTGGAACATTAAGCTCTTTTCTCCATTTCTGTCACCTCAGTCTGAAGGCTTCGAGAGATGGCACTCTCTTATTATTCATCTTGTACCCTTACAAGTTAAATGACACCTGGGCATGTAATGGACGCTCAGTAAAGATTTAGTGACCTGAACCGAACTGCAGCTACATGGTAACTTTAAGTTTAAATGTGGGAAGTAACCTTGTGGAATTTTCCTAGATTAACAACAACCACTACAAAATCAGACTTTTAAAAAAGGCAGTCTTAAACGTATTTAAATGAACAGCTAGATGATGATCTTATCTTCAAAGTTGTATTTGACTTAGGCAACAACAAACCAAACAATCAAAAGTTAACAAATTTTCAGAGTGGGGTTTTTGGTTATTTAAGCCATTTAGATGATGTAAATCTGGCAGAATATATACATATATATCTTAAAAATGAATTGCAGTATTGCTTATGTCATCATCACTATCACCTTGTTTATAATCTCTCTCCTGGTGTGCCCTCCCCACCATTTTGTACTTTATTTTCCTTCCTTAGGATACTGTTCTTAAGCAAAGGATTAGTGCCCTCTAGGGGTGAACTGCAGATGCAATGCAGTGCGCACCTTTTAAAAAGCACTGCAAATTCTAGAATTGTATGAAATACAGAAAATGATGCTTCATCCTTATTATGTAATTCAAGTTATATAATTTAATCCCAGAGTATCTCAGGCTGGTTTCACTTTGCTCATCACTTCCCGTAGCACGATTTATTCAGACAGTTTTTTTGCCCCACGGGGGAAAATTTCCAAAATGAGAAGAAAGAACGTTTTATTAAAAATTGAAGCAGAAGGTTAAGACTGCTGGCAGTTAGTATAGTCATCTGTGAAGGAAAGTTACCAGGCCAAATGTCTATGACTCAGGCTTAGGACAAAATAAAAAGCTTTTCTGTGTCAGTTTAACTATTTAATTCCTTTTTTTCTTTATAAATTGGTCACTAGATCAGCTATTTCTAGAGAAGCCCAATTATTTCCACTCATTTCATCCACAACCACTCATTCCCCATAATGCAGATTTGCTGACTTTTAATAGTTGATTAACATTTTATTTCATCCCATTCTTTGGTGGTCAGGAAAATGAGCAAATACAAGCACTTGAACACAGACAACCTCAGGTGCCTAGGAATAGTTCATTGTGTATGTATTTGTATTTATTATTATTACTATTATTACTATTATTATTATAACTCCTTTTTTTTCTTAAGATTTTATTTTTAAGTAATCTGTACACCCAAGGTAGGACTTGAACATACAACCCTGAGATCGATCTCAGGGTTGTATGCTGAGTCCTTCAGAAGAGTCCTATGCTCTTCTGAATGAGCCAGCCAACTGTCCCTGTATTTATTATTGTTAATAACGGTAACATTTGCTTGACATAGCAAGATAAAGATGATGATAATGGTATCTCTTGCAGTTGTGTAGCATTTTTTATATGTAGTATTTACGTGAACCTTCAGAATAATCATTTGAGGCAGGAAAAATAGGCAGTATAGCCTCAGGATTTTTTCAAGTATTACAGAAATTAAATTAGTGTATTTCTGTATTCTCTCCTAAAATTCTTAAGAAATTAAGCCATAAGACTTAAGGACACCTTTCCATTGTACCATTTTCAGATCACAGAATTTTTGTTCTCTGGTTTAGACTAGAGGCCTGTGTGCAAAGTTTTATTTTGAAGATGAGAAAATTGAGGCCTAGAGAGGATAGGCAGCTGGTGCTAGCTCATGAGACCCGTGGCAGAAGCAAGACTAAAATGCAGGTTTCCTCATTCTTTTTTCCCTTATTACATGTTTTCTTTTTTCCTAACTTGGTTTTGCATGGCATCATATTACTATTATCCTTCTCTACACATATCTAACTTAATTTTTCTTTACTGTTGGCATATATATGATGATGAAAAATGGCACCTGATTTTGGAAATTGTCCCTGATGTCAGAAAGAAGGTTTAGTTTGATTTGGCAAAAAGCAAGTTGTGAAATTGCCTTCCTATGAAATAAGTGTTCAGAATCACACTTCATCTTTAACTGTCTGAGAGTGAGAATTACAAAGGAAGTAGATGTGGATTGAAATGTGGCTTTGGCAGTGCGTGGGCGGGTCCAGTGGACCAGAGAGCATGGAATTCTCAGCACTATGTGTTAGTTCCTGTCATGGCAGGCCACATCCTGATCCTGCGCTGAGAATGTCAGACCTGTACAATAAAGTCATTTATTCTGAGAGATTAAGCCAGGATCAGGAACTACATAGTATTATTTATATAAATGTGATCTCTTTTAGGTTCAGGCTCTTTTAGAGTTAGGCTGCCTTCTCGTTACACTGGAGATGCACAGGGAAGTACTTAGATCTAGATGCATTGATGTGCAGAAATTGATAAGCATAACTCTTCTGCCTTGTTTTTCAGTAGGTCCTTAGTCTTGTAAATTAAATTCGTAGTTTGGAATGGGACTAAAGGAATTCTTACAGTGCTCCAATGAGTGAGTAGAAAAGTAAGCATTAAAGGTGCTGGGTGACTGTCAGTTGAGCTTTCGACTCTTGGTTTTGGCTCAGGTCATGATGTCATGTTTCGTGCGTCAGGCACTGCTGCCAGCGTGGAGTCTGCTTGGGATTCTCTCTCTCTCAAAAGAATTAAGTAAATTTAAAAAAATTAAAAAAAAGAAAAGTATTAGTACTCATTTCTCTAGGTTGCTTATTTGCATGCATATGTGTCATGCGTGTGGTAGATGTGTTCCTGAAAATATTCTTGAAAATTGATTCATCTCTGAAATATAATTGAGAACTTGAGGGGATTGTCATTTAATGGTATCCCAAATGGAAGGGATAATCACTGTATAACTTTTTTGGATATTTACAGATTTTCTAAATGAGAACTGCCTAAAATATGTTATGCTCTTTTTTTTTTAGGAAACTGAAACATTTTTTAAACTATATTTTACTGTTGCATCGTTATCTTGTGACACCAAAGATTCAGCTGATATTTCTCAGGAATTAGGAAATCAAAATAAAATGTCAGTCTGTGAAGATGGGGACACTTGTTTTAACGTAATTTGACTCACTTTCAGTGTTACTGGACATTTTATAGGTACTATTGATATTAGCAGTTATTTAGAGCTGTTGAGCCTACGTTTAATACTTACATTATTTGTAGCTAATGATCCCTAGATAGGTAATCAAATATTGAAAAGTTCTGTGATTTAGGCAAAAACACATAGGAATTAGTAAGTTTAATGTGAAACAGGGGAATTTTTCTTCATTAATAAAAAGTATTTTCTGACACAGATAAACTGCAAAATATGTATGTAGTCAACTAAGATAATAAATGTAATAGTATTTGAAGTTCTTTAGGATGAAAAACTTAACCATCAAAAGTTTGTTTCCAGTTTACTTTAGCCCTTGCTTGTTATGCATTCAGATAGTTTTGATCATAGTTTAGGTCTTGTTATTATTTTGTGCTGTATATTCACTTGACATTTTGGAAATGCAGAGAAGTTTGACTTATATGTACAAAACCTTTGAGAGTTTACCACACCAACTGGCAAGCATATAGGGCTTGTGCCCTATGTGTGATGTAGGTGGGATTCTGGTCTCTGCCTCTGGGCCACTTTCTTAACTCTTTTAATGAGATCAACACAAAGTATTGCAGCCTGGAATCACTAAAAGGTGAGAAAATGGAAACATGCCAACCCGCTGTGGAACAGCCATCTTAATAGCCTGCTTTGACATTTGTCTCTCTAGCACAAACCTTAGAGCAGGCCAAGTATTTACAGGAGATATCCCTACTTGGCAGACTGAACAAAGCTTTTGGGAAATCTTTGGTGTTTTGTGCTCTAAAGTCACAAGCTTAAATCAGGCCTGTGGAATGGAGGAAGAAGCTATTATAGATTAGGTGTTAACTTTGTGCTAGTGTTAATGTGGTTATAAAAACCCCCTGTCACAAGAAGATTTATGTTGTGCACAGGATGGTTTGGGCAGAGGTCTTTTAACTTGACATACGTGAATTAAAAATTTTTTTGAAAAAAATATAGAGACTAAGGAAATTTCAAAAATAGTAAGAATATAGTCTCATGGGCCCTTCACCTAGCTTATATTTCTGGAATTTTAAAGTGTGGAACGTGTATATCTGGCCTCCTGGATCTGGTGGCACAAAGAATAGGAAGAAAGACCAGCTCGGGTTAGGGGGAGGGGTGAAAACTTGCTTGTCTTGCTAAGGTGGCTCTGGCTGTTATATCAGGAATCATGAATAAGGTTATTGCCATTGCCTGTATTTAAAAAATTGTAACCCTATGTAGTTGTCCAAGCTTATTTATAGTAACTCTAGTATGTTAAAAAGATAACAATTTTGTTTGTCTTTAGGAATTACTAATATGAAATTTACTTTTTTTAGTTTTTTTTAAATTCAAATTTAGTTTTTAAGTAATGAGAAAATCAAAGTGAAAATATTGCTACAAGAATGAACACTGTATGAGGAATGTTTCCTACTTGTTCTGTTCTTGTTTTAGTGTTAAAGATGATCTACGTTCTAGACCCAAAAGTTAAATTGCTTTTCTTTGTGTAGGTTCGAAAACATGTGAATGATCTCTATGAAGACTTAAGGGATGGACACAATTTAATCTCTCTTTTAGAGGTTCTTTCGGGAGATACCTTGGTAAGTTTTAAATTTCCTAATTTAGTTTGAAGAACACATAATGCTGTCTATGTAAGGACCAGTGTGTTGTTGGTAGAGACTGTTCAGATTTTTGCAACATTCGCCTTTAGCGCTGTGAATTCTGCCTGAAAAAAAGAGTTCTGGTTAGATTCCTGATCATTTTCAGACTTCAAGTGATGTGAATTTGGGAGATTGAAGCCCTTTGACTACTTTGCTTATGTAATCAGTTCTATAATAAAACTACTATTTTTGTTCTTCTTTTTTTACCTTTGGGTTTTTTTGCTTAGCAGAGGTTGGATGCATAATATAACCACATATTAAAAGACTCACAAATAGCAAGGAAATAAACATTGCTTTCTGGAAAATGGTCTAACCCATTCCACAGGTGTCATTTCCTTTTTTGTGAACATTACTTCCCCTTCTTGGTTACTTGTTCTCCTTCATTATGTTCTGTTCATGCTCTTCTTTTCATTTCTGGTCTGTCTTGTGTCTTTGCTGTCCTATCTTCTGTCTGTTATATTCATTAGCCAAGGGAGCGAGATTTTTTGAAGACCTTACGATTGGTGAGTGCAACAGAAGCATGCGAATATGAACAGCATGAGGATGTGGAGGATGAGGATAAGGGGGTAGGTGTCGGCCCCCATAACTCGACTAACCTAGCCATTACAGTGCGGTGAGCGCTAACGTGATAGAGAAGTAACCCATGGGTTGGGGCTCCTTTTTAGAAAATTATAGAAAGGACCAAAACCCATAGTGAGGTAGATGTGTGTGTACCAAAAAAATTGGACAAAGGAAATATTTTCTCTTTAAATTTATTTAGATGTTACTGTGCAGTGCATGGTAATTGAACATATGTGATTGAATTATATGATGCCATTTTAGCTAAAGAATTTTACATGCATTTTATATAAATGTGGAAATCTTGACAACTAGCCTGCTAATTTTTATGCAAATTTGTTCCACTTCTGGAATTTATATTTCAAATGTGGCAACTATTGCTTTATTTGAAGGGACTTATGGAAATTTATTTCCTATTTAAGTTTATGCTTTAAATCATACTGGCAATAGGTATTTGATGGACATTATTTATGTATTTTCTATGTCTTATTTTTATTTAGAAGGGGGGAAAGTTTTAAAATCTGGATTCCTGGTAGAACCTATAGAACTGTTTCATCTTCATGACACTTAGTTGACTTCAGCCCACCTTTGCAAGACAGATAATGCTTCTTTTGTCATCTACATCCCAAGTGCCCCTGATTTGGAAATTGTGCTTTTTTTTTGGATCCATTGGGTGAATTTACCAACATTATTTCTACCTGTTTATATAGAACCTATTTTTCCGTTCTGTACTCTGCTGTCTTTTCATTATGGTGCCTTGGCCTTCAATATTCATATTTGAGAAGCTAAGCTGTCAGTGTTTTTTTTCTTTTCTTCCTTTTGGGAGATTTTATGTGAAAAATTTCAACTCCATTCTTTGTATTTTTGTTAAGCATCTTCTCAGCTCTATCTCCTTATGTTTTCCGTCTGCTAACTTGTTACATTTCTCAAGGAAAACGGCACCAACGAAAAGAATTATGGATTGCCAGTTTTCCTGAGATCATAAACAGTCATGTCCATCCCTAAGCAGTAAAACTATTAAGAGTCCAACTGATTTTGTGAAAAAGCTAAAATAAAATAAAGAGGAAATATATGGCTTTAATTGCTTTTTTCTCTTCCTCTATCATGGCTAAGTAAGACTCCATCTTTCTCCTTCTTGGTGATTTTTATACTAACTGCATGCTACTTTACCTCATTTTCATTAACATGCCATACATATATAATTATAAAAACCCGCTTGACAATAGACTTTATTAAGAAGGCAAAATGGGGAATGGTATTTAATTCTTTCTGTGCATCCAAAGCTAATAAACTGTAGGCTAGAATTGTAGTATAATGACTATAAAAAGTCTGTATGTTCTGTGGCATTTTTTCTTTTTCTTTTGTTTAAATAAAGCAAAATGGAATAAAGCATATGTTTAAATAAAACATTTGGAGAAATCCCTATTTGTTTAAATTCAATTTCAAATAATACAAATTTTAATTTAATTTAATTTTAATTTAAAAAATCTAATGGGTTTACCCAAATATTAAATCCTGTTTTGATATGTTAAGATGAGCATAAAGTATATTTATAGAGTATACATCATAAGTGTATTTAGCATGGTCAGTGGTATCAGAAACTAGTGTTTTTTATACTCTGCATTTTTCTATTCTTAGCCCAGAGAAAAAGGTCGGATGCGTTTTCACAGACTACAGAATGTACAAATTGCACTTGACTATTTGAAAAGACGCCAGGTATGATGTTTTTCAAAGACTATATAATCATATAAACATATGTGATGGAGTACATCTAGATAGGAACATGTCAGGGGATGAAACGGTTAAATTTGTCATTTATAATGTTTAAATTTGTGCTTTTGAGAGACAAATATTTAAAAATATGTTCAAACATTTGCTCCAAAGAAAAGGAAGTTAATAGTAGGTGTAAGCCCACAGGAATTATAAGTGGCTGCATTTCCATCTGAATAAGAGCTACTGATTTTCCTTCTGTTAGAATTGGAATGCTTTGCCTAGGAAGTTAATGACCTTTTAGTAGCAAGAGAATGTTAAGAATGCCTATGAAAAGTTCTTAGTAGTGGGGCAATACTTTATTATTTATACTTAGTATATAAAATTATTTTTATAAAAAATAGTTGATGGACTACTTTCAAAAAACTTAGTGTAAGCATTTTTAATACTTAGTGGTACAATATTTTTTTTATAAATAGATAATATTGGGTAATTAAAAGGAATTAAAAATAAAACAACAACCTCCAACTAACTTGAGGTTTTAGAAGCAGTCATGGTTAAAGAATGAAAACCATATTGGATATGATCTTGATTTGGTGGCGTTGTGGTATTATAGTGGTATAAGCCAAAATATTGGTAATTTTTCAAATAGTAGAGAAAAGGAAAGAAAGAAAATCAGGGGAATGGAAAATTACTGCGAACAATGAGAAATCAGAGGTGGCAGCAATTTAGCTTGTTAGTGGAATAAAGAGAAAAGGAAGGGAGGAAAACGGGGAGAGGTAAACACCATTTTTTTATTCATTTATTTCGTTTATTAACATTACAGTGATTTATTTAAACTCAGATAAACACTGCGTGCTTAAATATGTTAAATGTTACTTTTATTTACCTTATTATTCTTTCTTAAAAAATATTTTTGAGGTTTATTTATTTGGAAAGAGCGAGAGAGTACAAGTGGGGGTGGGGGCCATAGAGGAGAGACAGAATCCCAAGCAGGCTCCACACCATCAGCGCAGAGCAGGATGAGAGGCTTGAATTCAAACTGTGAGATCATGACCCGAGTTGAGATCAAGAGGCAGATGCTTAACCAACTGAGCCGCCCAGGCACTCCTATTTACCTTATTATTCTTAATTCTAGTGGAAGTTTTCATAAGGACTGATGGTTGATTATGTTTCCTTGTCTGAAGTGTTTTTGTCAGTGTTTTGTCAGGAAGTGAGATGTTATTATTGTGTTTGATTCATGATATTTAATTATTTTTATCCAGGATATAAATGATAGGTATCATTACTATATTTGTTTACCTGAAAATGCATAATTTCATAGTTAATAAGCTTTAAGTCTAAGTATTATTGTTTGTTTTTATTTTTATTTTTCATATTTGAGCAGCCTTCCAAATATCCAGTGACTTACATATTTATTTATCTTGGTAACAATTTATGGTAGATAAATGGAAAAAAGATGCTAGTTTTTTTTTTAATTTTTTTCCCACTTTGTGACAGAAGTATGAGAAAGTTGTTAAACTATTTTATGGTTCAGAACAGTATCTTAATGGTTAGAGCAAAATAAAGCTTATTTTCAAGTGATAAAATTGTGTCTAATTTTAAAATCTCAAGTATTTAAGAATTCTCAACTTCAGTAGTATTTTTCAGTTGGAAAGTGATTACTTATAATACTTGTTCTAGAAGAAAAACCAGAGTAACGCCTTTTTTTTTCCTTTGTGGTGACTCTATAATTTGCAATCTAAAGTGAGTAGAGATAAGGGAGTAAGACAATATTTTGAGGATTTACTGGTACTTAGATCAATTTTTTTCTTTGTGTAATATAGAATTGATTTTATGTAGATAAATATAACTTATGTGCTGGTTTGAAAAAGTTTGCTTTATTTCTTCTTTCCATATAACACAGGTGAAATTAGTGAATATTAGAAATGACGACATAACAGATGGAAATCCCAAGTTGACTTTGGGATTAATATGGACAATAATTTTGCACTTTCAGGTAAGCTTAATTTTTCTTAGTTATCATTTCTTTTAGCCTCTCATTGCTGATTTTCAAGTGTTTCATATGAAGAATAAATTATGCACTTACATCCTATGGAAGAAAATAAATTTCAGGCTTCTTAAAAAGTACATTTGAATTTTTCCTTTCAAGTAACATACTGCCTGTGAACCTTGCACCCTGTCTCCTGGTATTGATGAGCTTAAATATTCTAAGATGCTTGTAATCCTGTTGTGGAAAACTGGCCTCTATGCTCTGAGCCCAAATATGTATGGTGAAGACAGGAGTTTGGATATAAAGAGGAACAATAGCTTTGTTGCTTTGCTGGGCAAAGAAGACTGCAGCAGGCTAAGGCCCTCAAAATACAAGCCCACCTGGAGGAAGGGGCTCCAGGATTTTATAGGGAAATAGAGAATCCAGCTGGTTTCCACAGGAATTGTGTACCTACTACTAGCCAAGTTCATCGTGTTTTCTAGGTGGCTCTGGGTTCCTGAAGCAAAAGGCTAAGAAGGGAGGAAGGGAGGTTTACGGAAGAGAGGAAAAAGGTTACTTAGTTTAAAATTGAACCTCCCTGAAGCATTAATGCAGCCATTTTGATTTTAACTTCTGCTTTTAAGCGGTTTCAGTCTCAGTGTTGGAAGACACAGATTCTTTTTATGGAATGCAGACTCATTTCTTTTATTTATTGGATAGTATTATTTGATTTATGTACATAAAAATTTTATGATTCAGTCCTTAGAATGGTTTTTATTGGTATTATGGTTTCTCAGCTATGCAAACTCCTTTTTCCTGTTGATAGACACTAGATGGCAGTATAATTCTCATAACAGTATCTCCTGAATTAGAAGAATCTGTATTTTGTGTAGACCTGTACTTTCTCAAATTGGATTTGAGGAGAGTCAATGCAGATTTGTTAACTATGATTTATATAAAAAATCTGTGCTCATTGAGGGCTTATTTTGACTTTTTAGTTTTTCTTTTTTTGAAAAAAAAATCTTTATTTGATTTAAGGTGAATCCTAACTCTGGAACTTGCTTTAGTTTATGAACCATTTTCCTGCTGATGCGTATTCTCTGTGCAGCCCAGAGCCTGACCCATAGTAGGCATGTGGCAAGTCATACTGAATGACTGCTGTTCAGTTGGACCTTAAAGGAGGAAGAGGTAGCTTGCCAGCTTCAGGAAGGAGCTGGGGTTTGGAACCAAATCACAGGAAGAATAATACTTATTTCTTAATTTGTGCAAGTTTTATTGGGATTTAAGATTTGTAAGGGAATAGTGGGAAATAGTGTACCTGGGGCTCATTTGGGAGCAGGATAAATGTGACAGGTATGGAGAGCTATAGGAATTAGAGTCTAGGTAGTCCCAGCACCTGAACAGTCAGGTGAACAAAATTACAGCGGTAGGAAATTGGAGAAGACCCAGGTGACTAGGTGTCACCAGCCCGACTACAGGGTAGCTAATACAGGTGAATGTTCCCACAGTGGGAGGGTATTGCTGTCAGGGTGATCCAGTAGCAGGAACTGGAGGCAAGACCCTAAAGATCTGAGGGTCCCAATTATTAGAGCACTCCTGCCTTAGGGGATTAGGGGACTGAGCACTAAACCACAGCAAGGATTTGGGCACAGAGCCAAGACCTTGTTTCTAGAATTGGGTAAAGGCTAGGTAGAACTGGCTGAAAAGCACATTTCATGTGTAGTTCCTCAGCATTCTCAGTGATCCTTTAATTATTATTATTATTATTATTATTTTTTAAATTCTTTTAAATGTTTATTTTTGAGGGAGAGAGAGTACGAGCAAGGGAAGGTCAGAGGGAGAGGGAGACACAGAATCTGAAGCAGGCTCTAGGCTCTGAGCTGTCAGCACAGAGCCCAACACAGGGTTCGGACTCACAAACCATGAGATCTTGACCTGATGACTGAGAAAAACAGAGTGATGGTCAGGGGAGAATGAACGGCCTCCCGGGTGGGTTTGATGGTGTGGTGGGCGTCCTGTGCATCTGTGCACTGAGCAGTTTGGGAAGTTGGCTACAGGTGACACACTTGGAGTTATCAGTATAAAAGTGTTGGAGAGAGGGATCTCCAGAGGATTTGAGAGAATCCTCTTGAATACATGAAGAGCTAAGGACAGAAGTTTAGGGAAGGCCCATGATTTGGGATGCAGGAGGAAGAAGTTCCATCTGGGGAAACAGAAAAGGAACATTTGGAGAGATAGATGAAAGCAACAAGAAAATCTAGTATTGCTGAAGCCAGGGGAAGAGAGTTTCAATTATAAAGGAATGATGAGCAGTATGAAATAAGAAAATGAAGACTAAGCCATAGTTTTGTCTAGAAGGAAGACTTTAGAGACCTTGGAGAAAACATTCCCAAGCGACTGGAGACCTTGGAGAAAACATTTCCCAGGCAGAAACCAGAAAATGTCAGACCAAAATGTGAGAAAATGGTTGGGAATTAGAATCAGTCTATATAGAACCTTAAGTTTGAAGAGATATAAAGCAAAATGTCATTCAAAAAAGAATTATATACTGGGGAGCCTGGGTGGCTCAGTTGGTTAAGTGTCCAACTCGATTTCGGCTCAGGTCATGATCTCACGGTTTGTGGGTTTGAGCCCTGCATCGGGCTCTGCGCTGACAGCACAGAGCCTGCTTGGGATTCCCTCTCTCCCCTTCTCTCTGCCCCTCCCTTGCTTGTGCTCCCACATGCTCACTCTCTGTCTCTCTCTCAAAAATAAATAAATAAACTTTTTAAAAAAGAATTCTGTATTAAGAAACTCTGCGTTTTGTCATTGGGAGAAAAAGGAAGACCAGCCACAGAAGTACTTCTAATATAATCCTAATGGTCCTGTGGCATGTATTATGAGTTCCAGTGTATTTTAGGACCTGAACTACAGCATATTAAATTAAATTATCACCAATATTTAAAAATTAGACCCAGATCTGTTTAAAGTGGAACGCAACAATGTTTTGGTAAAATAAAAATATTTCTTCTTATTTGAATGAAAGAACTTTTCATAGTACTTTGATAATTTAAGATTAGAATGATTCTCTGATTATGCCAAGATAAAAGGCTATTTACAGCAGTGGTGATCATCCTCACTCCAAGTGAGTTTTGGTTGTTTTTGTTTGTTTGTTTTGTCTCTATACTTTGCATAAATAAGGGAAGTAACTTTAAAAGATCAATTAGTTATTAAAAATATATTTATTACCAGTATCACAAGTTGAATCTCTTTTCCAGTCAGGCTGTCTGAAGATAAGCATTATCAACACAGTAATCCTCTATCAATAGTTACCACATGCTAGATTCAGAGATACTAAGATAATGAAGTATGTTGTTCTATCTGTTGGGACAATGTTCATAAATCTATTGGTGACGAGTCCAATGCAATATAAATAAAAATGGGGATGCAGAGGAGGGAGTGTTGTGGTAGGATCAGCAAGGTGTTAGAGAGTAAGGGAAATTTTTACTGATATTAGAGCTAGACTTTGCAGGACGAATGCTAGCTTCCAGGCAGAGACTAAAGTTGGGCCATTTCTGGGAGAGGGGGCAGTTGCTCAGACGGGCAGGGCTAGAAGGAATGGCGGATGGGATGCACATCACTGGTGGTTGTGCCTTTATCTTGCCAGTACAGACTCTAGCCATTATACTTTTAAATTCTCTTGAATAATGTTCCATTGCCAATGAAGACATTGAAAATCAAATTAAAAATAAACCCACATCTGAGCCTTTATTTTTGCCAGTTTGTCTCCTAGGATACTCAGTTTTGCCATTGGAGATTGTTTCATTATCTCTTTGAATCATTAAGGAAAGCCTCATCACACAGGCCTATTGACAAGTATCAGCAACATTGCTAACTTGACTATTTAATTGGATATTCTTATTTAGAAAAGTATAATGAGTTCTGTCTTCTGATCAGTCTACCTAGAGAATGGCAATTATTTTTTTTTTCTAATGAGTCAAATGATAATCTGCTTACGTGTAAGTCCAGTCATGCCATACTAATTTTCTTTTTACCACATCTGTGACTCAGTTTTAGAAATATGCACACCTTAGATAATCAGGCTCCATACTGATTTACTATTTTTACAGCAAGACCCTAGTAAAATTGCATAATATTTAACTAGGGTACAATTACAAAAGTTATATATGAAGTTTAACTGCCTTCCTTCATGTAAAAGAAACACATTCATGTGTTTCTTTTGGCTAAGCATTTTATGCTTTAAATCATAAAATTTATCAATTTGCTTATGTGAAAATACTAATGATCACATAAGGAAAATGGCTTGGAAATTGGTGTCATATGAAAATGTAATATGAAAAATATTAGAAACTATTTTACAAGATTTTAGAAATAATTTTAATTGATATTTTTAGGAATTTAGCATTTATTATCTCTCCTTCAGCTATTGAATCATCCTGTTGGTTTTTTTTTAATGGCTGATGTTTTTAAAAAGTCTGAGTATAATTTACATAGATTTTTGAGCCTTTTTTTTTTTTTGGCAAGTACCAAAATTAGTTGTTTTTTCTTAAGAAAAAAATTATATGGTAGAGACTCTCTGAAACTAAATTTGAAAGACATTTTGTTAAATTACTCCTGTATTTGCTTTTTGTTTGCTCTCAGATTTGTTGAACCACCAGTAGTTTCAAAGGTTAATGCAAACTTTGGTAGCGTAACTGCATTTCTGAAAATCGAAAGTTAGAGTGAGGGTCAGAGTCTTCTCGTGTGATAAAGCTGAGGTTTGCCTTGAAAGCTCAGCAGCGTTGTAATTTTACCGTGAACACTAATGTTTGTCTAAAAGGATTGGTGGCCAGAAATAAGCCACGGTGTCTAATGAGACACAGGGACCCAGCTGGGCAAGATGCCATGGCATTTCTTGCGTGTGTTTTTCTCATAAGCAAAATGGCTTCATGCTGAAGAGGATGGTCACAAAGTCTGAGGAATTAGAGGTCAGAGTGGGACTTTCAGACTTAATGCGGAAGATCGAGGTAAGCCCTGGATTTTGAAAT